GATTTGAAGTTCATTGCCGAAGAAAGTAACTTTTGATCCACGTTGCCTCATTTAATAAAGAGCTCAGTCCCAATTTAATATGCGCAAGATATTAAACGGTTTGGTCGGGAAAGAACGAGAGGGCTGCCCGAGGTGAGAGGTCGAACAGGAAGACGAGAGGAGCGAGCCATCGGAGCCATCGGGTAGGTCAATGATGTTTGGCAAGCGACTCAGAGTTACGGAACGTCTCTTAAAAAACGTCATAAGCGCATCCATGATGGCGTATCGAGAATCGACCCGTTCATTTAAATCCCGACAGCGTCGTCTCGAGGGGATGAGCAGAGGATGAGATTCCGTCTGGGGATGCTGCCAGCCAGCCAACCAGGTCAACCAGGCCAACCAGCTTCAATTGAAATCTATTCGCTGCTGTAAAAGTCGACGGGACACCAAGTATGACGAGCGGCCCCCTTCCTGTTCCTTTCGTCCTGCTTTCCGGGCCATCTCGTTCGCATCCTCCCAATACGCTCCCAATACGCGTCTTCGTTGCTGCCACTGCCGCTACTACGTTGCTCTGGCAGCCCTCGTTCGTTCTTTCGTTTGGCCTCGGAAGGCCCCCTTCCCGCCCACTTCCTACTGCCTACTTCGCCGCTACGCGTGCACCCCAAGGCAGCCAATGGGAGGCAGGTCGTTCCTCGACGCTTCCGTCGATCCGTCGCGACGGATTTCCCGAAACTGTAAATGATGTTGCTCTCGGTTTTCACGAGCACAGCACATTTTTTGTTCAGCCTTTGTGCCGCCACTCTCCCTCTGATTACCACCGTCTCCTTCGAAGGAGATCGTACCAGCTTCTCGGGCAATTCCTTCACGGATGTCTCGAGAGGTTAATATCTCCTGCGTGGGCTGCGTAGCAAATACACAAAGAACGAAGAATAGCACATTTCATGTTTCACTTGATATCACCGTAGCAGCGCGAGGGCTGCGTCTGCGTTCCGCGTCAATTAAAAATCTCTACTGAAGTGGAATATGTTACCACCCTTATTTCATCAACTCGGCTCAAAGCTGTTTTCCAATAGTATACAAACTCCTATCGAGTGACTCGAATCTCATAGGTTTCGATGAAATTGGCTAGGTTTTCATAACCATTGAAAAGAAAAGATAAAAAATTATTGGCCTGAACCTAGAGGCCGATTGACTTGTGTCAATTGTCAGAGAATAAGATTTCGAAAGTGGTAATCTGAATCAAAAGCTTCTTGGACTTTGAAAGCATCTCGTGTCGAATTCCCGCCGTTTGAATTAGCGCCAATCACTTGGGCTGATTGCGCATATAGTTAAAGACACGTAATACGCCACACACAGGTTGTTCCATCCCCCAGTCGGATGCTGGGTTGATGTGAGACAGGAAGGGCGGGTACGACTGAATTCACGATATTCAAGGTATTCGGGGTGAAAATTAGAAGACAAAATGCCAACTATGCAAATGGCGAATTGTTATTCATTGCGAGAGGGGAAGGGGGGCCATGGCAGAATGAATTAACATATCAAAGTGTACCAACGATTTTTCTATTTACACGCTGTTGCGGTATGCCACGAGAAGAAAGTCCTGATATACTGATTATATACGAGGTATGTATCGAGGAATGGCGCGAAACGAATGAAGAATCGAAAACACATAAGCTCCTTAATTCAAGTACGTAAAGGTCCTGGCTGTGGAGCGTAAAAGCAAATGGTTTAATGCTACAGACTGTGCTTGTACGGGAAGTGCAGGAGTTATTCGCGCGTACGCACTAACACGTGGCAACCCCACAGCCCCACAGCCCCATAGCCCCATAGCCCTTAACGTTGTTCCACGTCGAATACATTACGAGAAAATTCAGCGTTCCGTTTAACAAATTGACTAATTCACGTTGCCTCGCGTATTACATTAACCAAATAGCGGGCTGCTGTGCATCCCCTTTTCAGGGGGTGCTTCATCACAGACGGGGGTTAAGCTCTCGACGCTTCCGTACGTAACCTCCATCCATCGCTGCGTGTACTGAACATGCGGGTGATGGAGCACGTAGGCGACGACATGCAGGACTAGCGATCAACACCATTTCAACCCTCTGGAATTCTGGAATTCTGGAAAAGACAAAGCCAATAAAGAAGGGTAAGGGAAGAGGGAAAGGGAGAATAAGAAGTAGGATCAGGGGGATGGTTTGGCCACAGACCGATTCCTCACCCTTCAAAGATTTATGGTCTATCCTTCTTTTCGCATCCCAGCGCACTTTCGCCCTACTCAAATTCGATCAGGCATCGACTTAAAATCAACAGGGGGTCGCGAATGCCTGGCTGAGCCTGGTTATTTTCTCTGCAGGCTATTTTAACGAATGCCTGAATAGGAATTGCCCGGTTGTGTCGAATTCCAAGTAAATACCCTACTCGTTCGATTTATAGTTGTTGCTCGATACTGAGAAGGCGTAAATCCTTCCTCACTTCCGGTAGAGGATCGTATAAGAATCTGAAGGGCAATCATGGATCCTATCCCTCTTGATGGAGTTCCGCTTGGCGTTTCGTTCCTCATATGATACAGTGAATTCCCAGGAAACGCACAGAGACACACCTTGCAGCCTTGCACACGTCAGCCGTCCGTTTCCTGAGAGATTTATTCTCGACCCGACATCCGGCCGATGGCCGCCATGATTCTCACCTTTCCCCATGAGACGGTAGAGGTTCGTGATAGAAAGGACGTACTTTCATAGAGGATAATTTATATGCGTTGTGTCTACAAGAGAACGTGAAATATTGAAACTCCTAAAGTAACTGTATTTACCTATGCATTTACGCGCTAGACTTACGCGCTAGACTACTCCACTTTCTGACTTCCCTTCGTATCCAAATTTTTTGATTCCGCACCACCTCCCGGGAGTCTTGCATGGGTTCTTTAATCCCTCTCTTTTACCAAATTTTGTCTGCATCTCGTGAATTTAATCTACATTACCGCTGCCTGACTTGCATGATTAATTCATCCCCTGAGCGTAACTCTGCTAAGACGGCCGGACGAAGGAAGGTTCTCGTAAGAAGGTTGGGCCCCCCTCCCCTTCCCCCCCCGGGAGGGATGGCGGTTACCACAGTGATAAGGAACACAAGTCAAGAATGGATAAGAAAGAAATGTTTCTAAATCGAATCCTGTTCTGCGAACCGTAAATGCTGCAGTGCAATTTCCCAGCGTTGCGCCTGCAGATGGAAAACGTTTATTCCGAGCTGTTTTCCACCCTCCGCGATGTAACGTGAACGAGGGTAACTTTTGAGCGAGAAACCTTGAAGGGGTTGGAAGACTACTCGAGACCACGACAAAGGCATTACACAGTCGAGTCACGCGATAATAAGTATTAAACTGGTTAAGGTTAATTGCTGGCTGTTACGAGCGCGCTTAACGTTACCGTTACGCCAGAAATTATTATCCAATGTAACCTTACGTATCTGGCTCTACGTATTTCCCTGGATATTTACTAGTTGTTTTTCCTAGCGAAGATTAGAAATGATCGAGAATTATGAAAGGCCTGTGCGACGAAGAGAGTGATAACCCAGAAAATTCGAAAAAAAGGAGCAAATAAGAAAAGAAAGATAAGCTGTGTCGAGAAAAAAATACGTGAAAGCAGATATAATACATAAGAGAGAACACGAGGAAAATTACGGGCGTCCTGTCGGTGGCATGCCACGCCTACCCCATTGTCGGCATTTTTTTTATTTCCACTAGCCTCCCCTCCCGCGCTTCCCCCAAACTGCTTCCCCCCTCGTACTTCTCCTTCAGGATTTTGGAAGTCCCATACCTACACACGCACGCTCGTCCCCCGACACACCCCCACTCTCGTTTCTTTTCTGATTTAGCGGAAAAGTCGCCGGCGACAACCCGAACGCAGCTCGGCCCTTTGCAGGTTACGATCTGCCGAATTCCAAGACCAGTTTCGAGAGATACGTCAAGAAGAAGATACCTCTGGACGGTGGATTTCTTCATCGGATCATGGACCAGCTTTAGGGAGGCCAGCAGGCAGTCATTTGGAAAATCGCGAAAGTCACCCTCTCGAAGGTTGTATCTTTTGCCTCCCCTGTAATATCCCGAGGGTAGGGAACAGAGGGAAGTCGAGACCTTATTGTTGGGAAGGTCATTGTCTTTTATCGTCTGCGTGACTTTTATTCGAGCAAGTGGAAAAACCGTCGTCATTCTGATCATTTAGCGGATGATCGTGATCGGAATACTGCGAGAAGCGATAGCTTCGTTATCCGGGATGAGCTGGTTAAAGAAAAGAGGCTGACAATGTGGAACGGGAGAAAAGAAATGAAAGGCGCAAGAGATACTGGGAGGCTGCGTGGATATAATGGCGAACGGCTCAAAGAAAAGATATGTGTACCAAGTATTCTGGCATACGTGTACCCGTATAGCATTCCAGGGGGTGCCAGTGAAATCTCGGTTATTTTGGAAAATCCTCACGAACGTGGATCTTCACGAAAACTTCAAAATCTCGAACGCCCGTTCCAGGGCCATTCTGATGCCCCTCCATCAACCCCTACAGCAGACTAGGTATTATGTATAATGTTCCTTCTGCTATGTGTATTCATCCCCTCCGGGCAGAAGGTTACCGTCCAGAGGGGCGAGGGAAACTAGAAACTGGGAGGGGGTTGATTTTATTTTAACGATGGCCCCGAAGGGTCTGAACCCTTTCCATGTTTCGCATAAATAACGAATAACTTTCTTTCTCTCGTCGGCTTATTACCTTTTCCACGACTTCGTATTTCATCCCCTCAACACGAACGAATAACATTTCTTCTGCACTCGAATGGAATACCAAGGCTTTGAGGGTATGGTCTAAAGGCACGTTCACACGTGCTGTCCAAAGGAAAGCCTAATCCAACCAAGAGGGAGCAGATAATAGCGAAAGACCTGCTGAAGGAGGCCGAGTACCTCAGAAAGAGAAAAGATCCTCAGGAGAAAAGGAGAAGACATTCCGGAGCATTTTTTCTTTTCCTTCTTATGTAATGAAAGCTTAAGGGGTGAGAGGGCGAGTGGACAAAAGGGGTGGGGCGAAAAGGGTCCATCCAAAAGGGCGTCTTTCGATTCTATCCTCGAGGCAAAATAGATATGGCAGGTAGAGTCGATTGAATTACCCTCGGAGACAGAACGCGTAACTGAAACCTCCCGACTCCCTCGTGGGGACCACAGGGGAACTGAATTTATTTGACCTTCCTTCCTTTCTACTTTCCCAAGGCACTCCTGTTTCCCTGGTCTTTCACTGGGTCACTTTGATTCTGTATCGTTAAAATCTGTCCACGTATTTTTTTTTTCTTCTCTTACTTCCAGGAGCACGCGCGAGGGCTGCGAACAACGTAACTACATAGGCAGGTACAGTATGTGAAAGACGTATAGAGAGATTTCTCGACAGGGACGTCTGCTGGTCCCTCAGCATCCCACGCGGACACGTCCTCAATGGTTTATGATTGTCTGGTGCTTGGCCTCCTAATCCCGTCCTCCAGGAATCTTCACTCGCAATCCCTCTAATTCGGACATGCATACGCGACGCGCTGGCAACTTGGGTTTCTCGAGTTTCTCGAGTTTCTCGACTCTAACCAGAGACTCGACGGAAGTCCGAACTAGGAGCTACTGGAGCACTTCTCCATTCTGCCTAATCCGTAGGATCCCGTTAACAGAACTCCTTAATACGTATTCTGCATGTTGACCGATAATTTCCTAATGGATCAGAGTGGCACCTGGTACCAATTATTAGGATAGTTCATTGGGCAGCTAAATCGGGAGCTCTGGAATTTCTTCCACTGCGCCGTCGTTGCCCTTTCGGAAAGGTTAGATATACATATATATTACTGTCGTATTCTTACTCACATTTTCGACTGCCCGTTTCAATTGCCTCGAGCCTCGCCACCAGGTCAGGACTGCCGGTGGCTTAGAGCCGGTGCTGCGACATTCTATCTTGTACTTCTTACCCGCGGAGAAGATCTTCTCCTTCCCGGTGAATTTTTCCTTCCCGACGATTTCCACGGTCAGCGGTTTCACTGAAAATGAAAATGGAACGTTTCCTTCAGAATGACGAAAAACAGCTGGTAGGCTTGATCGATCAATTACGGGAGTTAAAGTTGTGGGGCTTTGTTTTTCTGAGCCACCTCGAATGGCTTTCATTGGAGAACCGACGAGAATTTTTAAATAACTTTGCGCACGGCAGCGACGCCTCTAGGATTCCAAAGAAAATTACAAACTGGCCCAGTTCATGTTCGAAATGCCATTTCTCGCTGTTTTAATCGGCGATGGTGGAATGGGGAGGGGGAGGGACGCCTCATCATCTTGTACGGGGGATGAGGTAGAAGTAAATTTCTGACAAATTGCAAGAATATCAGGGGGCTGATATTACTCTTTGCGCTGTCATAAAATTTGATAATATCGTAAACATATTACGATATACATATAGTAAAAGCCCTGCTTGTTTGAGCTGTGCGACTAGGGGTTGTACAACCCCTGCAAAAACTATTAATTAAACGTCAGTGGCATAATGAAACAATTATAGCGACGCGCGTCGTTATTGGGTTAGTGAGGCTGCATGGCGCGGTTCCCCCTCTCCGTGCCTCCTACAAATTCATCTTCTTTGAGCGACGGCACTCTTGCCACTCGATTATCTTCTATATCCCTTCTATCATCGCCCTGGTCCTTGGGAACCTCTGGAACTTTTCCTCCTTTTCGTGCTTTCAACGAAAGCGAACCCCCCACGAAATGAGACAGAGAGGGTTGGACCGCGAGCCATCTCCGAGCTGGCAAATATAAAGTGAAAGGGTTAAGTTAAGGGAAGAAACAAGGAAATAAAAGAACCAGATAAAAAGGTTGGTGCAGCATACGCTATACGTTGGGGTCGAATTCGCACACAGCGTAGAAGAGGGTTTGGGTCAATGTCGAATGGATCTAATAACACTATGATATTTCCTTGGCATCGACACAAAAGTTAAATTCGGATTTGCAGTGTCCAATTAGTCCCCGATCTACAATAAATGTCCGTCCTCGAATTGGAAACTGAAGATATCGTCCCCCATAAAATCCACATGGAATCTCAGAGAATCGTTTTCCACGTGTCAACTCTCAGGGGCTTTTTCCACTGAATACTAATACATAGAGCAGTTGTAAAACCAACGTGGAAACTTTCCGCCATTCCTGTCGACGTAATTGCCAAACAGAAATGCACGCGGAGTTTACCACAACCAAAAGAAAGGCTATGACGCAACGTGGCTAATGTTCCCGGAACGCAGGTAGAGTAAAAGCTATATCACATTTCAACTGGATATAATGGCCCTTCGACGTACCGTTTTAGCCTTAATATAATTCTCATTTGCTAAAAGCTGTTACAAAACAATCTCATTCGAGAACCTCTCGTATCCCTTCCGGAGCCGCAGTATCAGAGAAAGAAAATGTGGTTTATTTAATTAAAACGGTCGGTTCGCCACTTTCTAACTCTGCTTATCTAACTTTCTCTTTGCAAGTGCCACGTGTGGCTGCAGATACGTTCACTACGTATGCACAGAGCGCACCCTGAGGATACGTTGAGTCTGAGACGTCAGCTTGGATTAGGTTAGGTTAACACAACGCGGCACAAAGAGAATCTTTGCGGCGTAGAGCCCGAAGATAGCAGACCAGACTGAAGTGAAGATACACTCGGCGGTGGAGACATCTAGGGGGAAAGCGCGGAAGCATAGGTTATAAGGGACATTACCACAACGAGCAGACATTAACGGGTTGTCGAGGAGAGGAGGACCGATTCGGCTAACTGCTCGTTGGCTACACTTAGGTTAAGGGAATTTACCTCCTAGGTGTCCATTTCTAAGTGATATTATTGCCGCAATTTGGCAGGCCTGCTCTCGCCTCTAGCGCCTGGCTTCGTCGCTCGTTCTCACTAATTTTCACTCGAAGAGAGAAGGAGCCAACGAGTGCCCGAACTTTCCTGAGCTTTCCTTGTTTCCTTCACACTTTTGACAATCCTCTCATTATGTCATTCACGTCGTTCTGGCTCCCGTTATTCGGGTTCGTCGCGACAATATAATCGCAACCAGCCAGTCGGTTCTCGAGGATTTTTCGTGCGGCCCAATTATCGACCAAACCGCACGATGGAAGTCAAGAGGCCTCGGAATATTGCTGGCAGCTCATTTTAGGAGAAAATAGGGAAAAACGCAGGGTGGCAAGATTGCGCGCGCCCTATTGTCCCTATTCGACAATGAAGATTATTATCGCGCTTATTATTATTTACTTGAAAGAGTAAAAACCGTCGCGAGGGTGAAAATGTCTCAGGACCCCCAGGAGCGAATCCCAAGGGATGAAATCTTGGCGATAAGCGGAATTTCCGGCACAAAGCAAAACAATCCTCTTGTCCTGCGACAGTAACGCGCTCCTCCTGTGTACGTAGCAATACATACGTACCTCTAGATGGCAGACGTACGGCAGTATAGTGTATATAGAGCAAATATATATGTATAGGTTACTCGTAACAATTCAAGAGAGAATTATCTCCCCTGAGGTGAGTTACTGCCGGAGTTACGTTCTTGGAATTAAGTCGGCTGTAGAAGAGAGCACGAAACCGTCCGCGACGGCAGCGCCGCCCTCGGGCACTCGTCGTACGTCACTTTTAAAGGGGTAACACGTTACACGTAACCTACTCGACGCGACGGACTCGGAGCCCCACTAATTCTAACGTTAAACGTCCTTAAAACTTTCCACTGGAAACCCGCCCGGAGGAAAAGGAAGGAGGAAAGGAACCCTTTTATTAAGCGACGCTCGGGATAATTTGCAGCTGCCCAGAAAGGACAATTATCTGAAATTGCAGGGACGCCCTTTGGTCATGTTAACGTGCCCGAGTGCCACGTGCTCGCAGGATTCGCACCGTGGACTTAAATATTTTTACGAAATTTACGCTACCTGCCCCCCACCCCTCGCATCATAATCCGCGAATTTCGCGATAAGGTCGCTGAAGCGAGCCGATAAAGGAAATTAAGAAGAACTGCTACTGCTACTACTACCACTAAGGAGAATAGTTATTGCTTTTAGTAAACTTTCTCCTGGGCCATCGATGGGATGGAGAGATTATTTTAAAAGCGTATCACGATCAAACGAATTAATTGAAATAGTCGAGTGCATGGCGCCAGGAGGAGAAGAGAGGGAGGGTCGAAACTCGAAGCTGTACTTCTTGGAGAATTATAGGAAGGAAGCGGCAGGGCGAAAGAGCGCAACGGGAGTAAGAAGTTCGCGACTCGAGCCGGAGAAATAAATCCATACAAATATCTCAACGCCCGAAAGATAAGTACCGAGTGGACGTTTTTAAGGCTTGCCCGAGTTCTCCGCGTCTCTTGGTGCGCACCTTCCTCTCTTAATTCTCCTTCCAACCAAGGCGGACGCCACCTACTGTACAGCCGCTATCGACGAGTACCACTACCACTACTGCTATCAGAATGGGAGTCCATGCTACATTGACTCCGGCATAACTACCGACAGTGGGGAAGCTGGTACGAAAGGCAGAAAGTAAGGCTACGGCAGTGAGAAGAGGTCCTTCACTTTTTTCTTTTGCTACTTCCGCTTTTTTATATTCCTCTTCGCCGTTCAACCAGTGCAAAAGTTTTAAGTCCGACCTGCGTCAGCTCGTTGAGGTCCAAGATGCGGACGGAGAAATGGGGGCAGGGAGGTCGACGTCTTACGAGTCCGTGGACATGATTTAATTTAAACTTGTTTGCCAGAAAGTTCAGCGCAGCTTCCTATGGTAGCTCCCGGTCAAAGAGAGCAGCCTCTTGCGGAATCATGGGTATAAATATTAATTCGCTGACGTACGAAAACGTCACTGAGAGTAAAACTTCAACCCGGAAAGACGAGCGCCTTGGCTATACTCATGTCAGTTACACGTATTCACGCATTACCGAATATACTATATACATAGTACAGTGGAATCTCACCTAGCTTGCGTAATGCGAAAACATGTAAGCTATGTGAAGAACCAATCAGGTACGAGAAACGGGCGTTCCGTACCCTCTTTCTCTCTCTCTCTCTCTCTCTCTCTCTCTCTCTCTCTCTGAGAGTGAGATTTCACTCTATATCTTTCACCTGGTTAGGTCAGTACATACTTACTCGTATTATATATAGGAACATTGGGAATTCTAGGCGCATAGTGGCAATGGGTTCGTGACAGGCGAATGGGTGGACGGGCTGATGGGCTGATGGGCTGATGGGCTGATGGGAAAATCCTACCTCGTCCCTTAGGATAATGCAGTCACGCTGCTCATGAATCACGATAATAAATATCGAGCCTGACGTAAACAGCGAGGGCAACGGTCAAACGGTGGTCGGCTGGTCGACTCTTCGTCATAAAACTTAATTTAATATTATTGCGGGCATTCGCTGTCGGTCGTGCCGAATGCTGTTCGGCGATTCGTGTCCGGCTCCTGCTCGCATTACGCAATTCGCAAACCAGCGTGACTCCACTGACTCTACTGGCAGTCTGGCACCAATGGCTGCCCCTTCGGTACAGGCAGTTTCGATGTTATTAATGACGCCCGAGGGTTGATTGGTTTTCGACGACACATCCCCTGCGAACGCTCTCATCCCTTTGATTTCTGATATGTACACAGAAATATTCCACACACACGGATGGCAGAGCTCGTCCACTCGTGTGTGTAAAGTCGAGATACGACCTTCCACGCGCCATCACCTCCGCCCCTAATCGTTGAAAAATGTTTCAATTTCTCTGGGAGAAATCCAAATATTGGCCCCGTGCGCCATCTTCCATATCATGTCACAGAGTTTCACAGGGTGTCGCTCTAGATTGCCGCATATTAAATATTCCATATCGTTACCGATCTATCCATTTATCCCGAGGGAACTTTCCAATGCGACACGATGCGATACACCTTTCAACCAGACGTACCAGTAAATTCACGTAGCGCCCCGAAATAAGATCAAAGCGTTGCCGCTAATCCCTGAGAATTATATAGACGTTGCCTCTAAGTCTCCGACTAATACTCGGCTAATATTGATCTCGCTCCGAGCGGCACATCGTCCGATATCCGTGCTTGATCCGATCAGCCGGAGATGCTCTCCGAACGGTGCAAAGTAGGGGGGTTGGAGGTGTTGCCGGGATTAAATTAGACGCGTTGATTGGTAGCACGGAGGGATAGATATCTGGTCGCATACACACATGCAACGTACGTATTACGAAGGTGGGTTATTTTGGGTTATGTTGGGTTATTCTGCTCTCTCTCTCTCTCTCTCTCTCTCTCTCTCTCTCGCTTTCATAAATGTATAAAGTTGGAGGAAAAGACTGCTGATTCATCCAAGGGGCGGCACTTACTGTTAAGCTCTATGATGACAGTGGTGGTCGGTGGCAGAGCGAGGATCGTGTTGGTTGCTTTACAGGAGAGTTTCACGTGATGGTGCTTTCTTGATAAACCCTCGAGCGTTACGTGGTTCACGGTTATGGGCCTCATTTCACCCCCAGGTCCTTGACTCTCCCTGACCTCGTAGGATTCGTCGATCAGCTGCGTGTCCATGTACCACTCCACACGCGGCCTCGGTCTTCCTATGGACAGTACGAAATACAAAGACTTTAATGAATAACATGGACAAGTGTCGTTTGTGCGCAGAAGGGAGCGGAAACCCCTTGAGGGCTTCAGATTGAATTAAGATGGGCGACCACCCAGTGCGTACGCACTGAGCATGTAGATGACATTGATTTCCCCCTGTCAATCGTGGCCGCCCTTGTTTGTCTCTAACAATAGGCTCCGCGGCAGTTCGATCTGTCTGACCGCAGCCTCCTAACTAGTAATATATAATATGTATACCCATATACGAGATAAAGGCTCTTCCACTCGGTACGTTACAATTAGAACATTGTAAGTTGCGAAAACTCGACTGTGCGAACTTCAGTAGTCGTTGCTTTTAGCTTGAAGTTCTTCGTATCGCTTCTCGTATTGCTTGAAGTTTCTGAACTAGTGATATGCGCTGGATAATAGATTCTTTGTCTACAGAGTCAAGTACTAAGTAATTGGTAGAGTAACAATGGCAATGATACGTGTAAACTGAGTCAATATAAAGAAGAATGTCGTAAAGAGAATTGAATTGACGAGTCGCCCTGTTAGTCGCCCTCCGGTTAGTCTCGGTGCTACTCTTACAAGAAGTGACGTCACATGAAGCTCCCAGTTGGCGGAAGGATTTCGAGGACGATGCATCTTCCATTAATTAGATCTCTCGTGTAGCCTCTCTATTCAGCAGTAGCTGTCTCAGCATCCATCCTATGTCTGTGCAACGGGGAGCACAATGCAACTGGTAAAGCCACTCCAGCCTCTCTTCAGCCTCCGCTATAGTCCTGCCTGTCTTCACGTCACCTGCCGGCCGTAGGGTCTACTATTCAGTAGAATCAGTAGCTATCGGAGCTATCGGAGCTACAGGCAGCCGCAGGCAGCCAAAACGGAACTGCCGACAGTATAGATAGCGCAGCTATAAGAAATCTTACACCTTGGGATCGCGGATCCATCCTTCGACTGGACGCCGTTGTGTTTACGTAGGTATCATTACTATGCAGTTGCACGCGTGAACTGCAGACGATAAACTGTTCGCAATGTGTGTCACATTGTCGCCTCAACAATGCGCGCGAAATAGCGGCTACTTTTAAACATGTCGCTATCGGATAATAATATGATAGCCCCCCTC